AATAAAATTCTTCTCAGAAATTCAATTATTTTCAAAAATTTTAATACAATAATTCTTGACAAAATTTCAATTATTTTCAAAAATTTTCCTCAATTTATTGATTTTCAATATCAACTACAATTTTAATAAAATTTTCCAAAAAAATTCAATTATTTGAAAAAATATTAATAAAATTCTACGCAACCATTTAATTATTTTCAAAAATAATGGAAATTTTACAAGAATTCAATTTTTACAATATTTGTTTATAAATTTCTTCGCAATAATTTTACTATTTTCATAAATAATAAAACTCATCGCAGAATTTTAATTTTGATATAATTTTAATTGAATTTCTTCAAAAATGCAATTATTCTTAAAAATGTTATTAAAATTCGGCGAAAGAATTAAACTATTTGAAAATATAATTGATAAAATTCTTTATAAGAAGTCAATTTAAAAAAAAAAATTCAATTCATCAATAAATTATTTATTTTTGTATTTAAATAATTGAATTCTCGTATAATTTTTTAATAAAAATTGATTTAAAAATGAATTTTTATTAAAATTTGAGATTATAATTGAATATTAAAAGCATTACCTACCCTGAATTTTTTTTAGAAATAATTGAATTTTGAAAACGTTTAAAATTAAATTCTTTGACAATCTGAATTTTTCATAGCTTTAACCAAAATTTCTGTAGAATTTTTTTTTCTTTTTTGATAAAGTTTAATTGAATTTTTTTTTTAAATTAAAAATTCTCAAAGAACTGTTTCGAAAATTGTAAAAAAATAATTGATTAAAAGAAGAATTTTAGTTAAAAATTCTAGAAAATAATAATTGAATGGAAATGATGAAAATAATTTTGTAGAACCCACATCGAAAAATTCCATGGAATTACCAGCTGGAAAATCCATGGAAAAACGACGCTGGTTTTGACAATTTTTTAAAACAATTTTTGGAGTCGAATATCAAATTTGAGATTTTTTTCATCAAATTGGAGCTTTTTTTATTAAAAATTGAAAATAAAGCTTTTTTCGAAACGCGGATGTACTCAGAACTATATTTTAAAATTTTCTTCCGATTCAGAAAAAAATTTATATCTTGAAAAATGACGCTGGTCTTGTAAATTTATTGTCACAATTTTTGGAGTCGAATATCAAATTTGTACTTTTTTCTATCAACTTGAAGCTTTTTTGTTTAAAAAAGAGCTTTTTCCAAAATACGGATGTACTCAGGACTTTTTTAGAATTTATTTCCGATTCAGAAAAAATTTGTGTCTTGAAAAACGACACTGATCTTGACAATTTTTGGAGTCGAATATCAAATTTGGACTTTTTTTCATCAATTTGGAGCTTTTTTGTACTAAAAAAAGAGCTTTTTTCCGAAACACGGAGATGGCAACCCTAAAGAAGAAAAAAAAAAAAGAGGTCCTTATTCTTGAGAGAAGAAAATAACGAAGTAGGTAGTAGAGGAGGAGGAGAAGGAAATAGATTTAGAAATTTTTGCGAGATGTGTGCTTATTTCTCGTGCGGAGAATAAAACATGAGTTACGTAAAGAAATGAGATGAAGAAAGAATATTAAAAAATATTGCAAATGAAAAAGCGATTAGTATGGAAAACAGGCACGTGCAAGTGCCGAAGGTTGTTGAGTCTCGATTTAACGAATATAAAAACCTTCAAGGCTCGTTACCAGACAGCTTCCTCCAAAGCAGCAAAGCTACATTTACCCGCAAAAGACCACGTGTTCGCGCCTGCGTTTTAAATGCCCAGCGACCTTCCCCCCCTCCACCGCTCTCCATCGCTCTCCTAACTTCTCCTCTTTCTCTCCCCCCGCCACTTGCACCGCGAAACCCCTCTAACGTGCAAACTGCACCTCCTTCACCTCGTGCCAGCATGCCATGCCACGTGTGCTCAATGTAGAGCCAAGAGAGAGAGAGAGAGAAAGAGAAGAAAATTAGAGAAAGCTGCTGTATTTCTCCATTACACTTATTTAATGCATTTTTTTTTTAATTTATAATTTTATTTTGCTTTCAAAGTTGGCAGAAAATTGTTTATTTTCAATTAATTTAATTTAATTAATTTTGTCTTTTTCTCTGACTCTAAAAAATATTCTGATTCACTCTAAAAATGATTCTGCTACATTGGAAAATTATTCGAAAAATCATTAATTTTTTTAAATAAATATATTTAAGCATTATTATTATTAATTGTAATAATAATAATAATAAACTAACTAGCCAGCCCACGAAAAGTAGTATTTTATTTATTTTTATTATGCAAATTCTAATTAAAATAATTGAATTCCTGAGAAATTATTATTATTCATAAAAAGAATTGAATTCTTACGAAGATTTTTACAAAAAATTCATTAAATAAAATTGAATTCTGTTTGGAAATTTTATGAAAATACTAGATATTGAAAATAATTGAATTTCGAGTATTTTTTGAAAATAATTAAATTCTACAAAGAATTCTATTCAAATTTTCGACAATAATTGAATGTCTGTGTGGTATTTTGTTAAATTTTTTTTTTTTTTTGAAAATAATTCAATTCACAAAAAAGCATTTTATTATTTATAAAAAGAATTGAATTCTTGCGAACGAATTTATTAGAATTTTTTTAAATAACTGAATTTCCATGAAGAAATTTATTAGTTTTAAAAATAATTGAATTCTTGTGAGGAATATTGTTGTTTATGAAGATAATAATTAAATTTTGCAAAGAAATTTTATTAAAATGCCTCAAAATATTTGAATTTTCGGGAATAATTTTGTTATTTATCAATATAATGGAATTCTTTTGAAGAATTATTTTTGTAAACAATATTGAATTCTTTGAAACAATTTTATTAATATCTAAAATAATAATTGAATTACTTCAAAAAAATTTAATTTAAATTGTATTTAAAATAATTAATTTCATTCGAACAATTTTATTAAAATATTTAAAAATAATTGAATTCCTGTAAAAAATTGTAATATTTTTGTAAATAATTGAATTCTTCAAAAGAATTTTAACAAAACTTTTTTTTAAATAATTGATTTTTTGGAGGAATTGAAATTAAATATTTTAAGAATAATTACATTTCTCGATCAATTTCTGTGAAATTGTATTAAAAGAAACTGAATTCCTGTGATGTTTTTTATTATTTCTGAAAATTAATTGAATAATTGCTAAGGATTTTATTAAAATTTTCAAAAATAATTGAATTCCTGAAAAGAATAAAATTCTTTCTGAAAATAATTGAATAATTTTTAAGAATTTTATTAAAATTTTCAAAAATAATTGAATTCCTGAAAAAGAATTTTATTATTAATATTTATAAAAATAATTGAATAGTTGCTAAGAATTTTATTAAAATTTTTAAAAATAATTAAATTCCTGGGAAGAATTTTATTATTTATGAAAATAATTGAATTATTGCGAAAAATTTTGTTAAAATGTTTAAAAAAAATTGAATTTCAGTGAAAAATTTTGTTACTTTTGAAAATAATTGAATTCTCCAGAAGAATTTTATAAACATTATTTTAAATAATTAATTTTTCCGAAATACAAGCAAATATTATGAAAGTTTTATTTTCAATAATTGAATTCTTGTTGAATACTTTATTTGTGAAAAAAATTGAATTTTTCGATTAATTAATTTAAAATAGTATTAAAATTAATTGAAATTCTTCCATGAATTTTGTTATTTATGAAAATAATTGAATTCTTGATCAGAATTTTATCAAAAATTTTTTTAAATAATTGAATTTCCATGAAAAATGTTATTATTAGGTAAAATAATTGAATTATTGTGAAGAATTGTATAAAAATTTTGTTAAATAATTGATTTTTTCGAAAATGCTATTCTAAATAATCTAAATTAATTGACTTCCTGTGGAAATTTTATTATTTAAGAAAATAATTGAATTTTGCATTAATTTTATGAAAATACTAGATATTGAAAATAATTGAATTTCGAATATTTTTTGAAAATAATTGAATCGTTTTAAAGAATTTGATTATAATTTTTGAGAATAATTTTTTGATTTTTAGTATTAGCGAATTTAAAGTAGTGGAAATTCTAAAAAAAAAACAAAAATAATGTGGTAAAAATAAATTATTATTAAATTTTAATATATTTTCAAATAATATTAAAAAAAAAATTATTATTAAATTATTGTTTTCAATTTTTAATTTTAATCAACTTTAAATGTATAAAATTACTCGAAAGGATTCAATTATATTTAAAAATAGCAATACTAATAATAATGAAAATTAACTCAAATAAAAATTATATTTGATACAAATTAATATTTATTTGATACAAATAAATATCTTTTTGAAGCGAATAAATCTTTTTTTCAATACAAATAAATATTTATTTGATAATAGGCAATTAATCATTTACTTGAATCAAATAAATTTTTTTCAGCGTGTTCTCAAACTGAAATGGTATTTCTGTGGTAAAATATATTTTTAAAAAACCCCTATCAATTACATACTTGACAAAATTATCTTATTTGTACCTCTATTCAAATTTTTTTTTTTTTGCAAAAAATTTTCTGATTTTATGTCAAGTGTCCAATTGTCAAGGTTTAATTCTCTTCGAAACGGGATGAAATCAATACGGCTTATCATATTTGCTAAAACCTTTTGATTGAGCCTCGGCTCTGAATAAAAACCAGGATCGAATTTTAGTTAATTATTATTCTCGTCGACTATATATACATATTTTTCTTTATTTATATATATATACAAAAATCACGTTTTCCAAACTATGACGAATATTTCTCGAATTGATTTCTAATTATAAACCACTTAAATATCAGATTTAATTCTATAATATCGGATTTAATTTATTTCTACAATCGTCCTCGGTGACAATCAGGAAAAATATTCTTATATCAAGCTAGAATGCTGAATTAAGAATTTTCCTAATTAGAACGGAATATTTACATAACTGAACTAGATTTATAGAAATATTGTATTATGCAGAGGAAAAAAGTTGCTAACTAAAATTTTTCTTTTTCAGGCCTTGAAAAAAAAGGAAAAAGATTATGAGCACGAGATGGAAAAATTGGCCAGAGAGAAAATAGCGTCTCAACAAAGGCTGGTAGCTTTGAAAAAGGATCTTGCAGCTACATGGGATCATATCGATTTCAGCACCTTATTACCAGAACAAAATTCCGTAGTGGATACTGTTGTTTCAAAAAATGGTACGTTTCAATTTTTTAAGAAAAGAAATGAAGAAATAAAGAGGAAAGAAAGAACAGATCAAAGAAATAAGGAAAGAATACATTTTTTTGACCAACTAATATTTAAAAAAAAAATTTTTTGAAAAGTTACAAATGATTTCAGAAATTTAATTATTTTCAAAAGTAATAAAATTTGTCACAGAAATTCAATTGTGAAAGAAAAGTATAAGAAATTCTAGTCAAAATTTCAATTATCTTTATAAATAATAAAATTCTTCTCCAAAATTCAATTATTTCTAAAAATTCTAATAAGGTTCTTTCCAAAATTTGAATTATTTTCATAAATAACAATATTCATCACAAGAATTCAATTATTTTTAAAAGTAATAAATTTCTTCTTAAAAATTCAATTATTTTAAAAAATTCGTTCGCAAGAATTCAATTATTTTCATAAATATTAAAATTCATCGCAGAATTTCAATTATTTTTAATACAATTTTACAAGAATTACACAAAAAATGTAATTATTCTTAAAAATTTAATTTCAATTCCTCGAAAAAATGAATTATTTAAAAAAATGATTTTTAAAAATTCTTTGAAAGAATTCATTTATTTACAAAAACTTTAATAAAATTCTTTGCAAAATTTCAATTATTTTCATAAATAACAATATTCATCACAAGAATTCAATTATTTGTAAAAGTAATAAATTTCTCCTTGGAAATTCAATTATTTTAAAAAATTCGTTCGCAAGAATTCAATTCATGGCAGAGTTTCAATTATTTTTATGTGCAATTTTATTTATTAATTTATTTATTTTATACATTCCCCGCGAATTCTAAAAAAATTTCTTGAAAAATGGAATTATGTTATTAATTATTATTATATATAATAATCGTCGTGATTCCAGATTTCCGGATCTCTGTCCACACTTGAAGTTAGTTATAGTTATTCTTTTGTTTTTTATACGTTTTGATAGAAAATAGAAATATACCTATACATATACATACATTATAATAATCGTAAGTTTCCTTTCCGTTAGCAAATTATCTGCATTCATTTGTTTGTTTTGAAAATTTAATTTTGTGGGTTAAGTATTGGGATTTTTTATATATTTTTTAATGTCAAACTTTTTAATGTGGAAAATACTTTACTTATTAAATTGTCTCGACTCTTTGGTAAAAAATCTAAAATTATCGAAAATTATCAAAAATTCAAAAATCCGAATTTCTTAAAATTTAACATTCTTTCCTCTCTTTTATGGGATTTAGCTTCATTATTTTTGTGCTTTTGGAAAATACTTTACATATTTAATAGTCTCGACTCTTTGGTAAAAAATCTAAAATTATCGAAAATTATCAAAATTTCAAAAATCCGTTTTTCTTAAAATTCAACATTTTTTCTTCTCTTTTATGGGATTTAGCTTCATTATTTTTGTGCTTTTGGAAAATACTTTACTTATTTAATAGTCTCGACTCTTTGGTAAAAAATGTGAAATTATCGAAAATTATCAAAAATTTCAAAAATCCGTTTTTCTTAAAATTCAACATTTTTTCTTCTCTTTTATGGGATTTAGCTTCATTATTTTTGTGCTTTTGGAAAATACTTTACTTATTAAATTGTCTCGACTCTTTGGAAAAAAATAAAAAATTATTAAAAATTATCAAAAATCCGAAAAATTGAATTTCTTAAAATTCAACATTTTTTTTTCTCTTTTATACCATTTAGCTTTATTATTATTTGAATTTTTATTCAAGAGAAAAAATGGAAAACTGAAAAAATTTAGAATTTTTTAAAAATTACAGGCCTTTTCCATGATTTCCCTGATTTCCAGAAGCCTTTTAAAAATTCCATACCATTTTCATGATTTTCCAGATTCTGTAGGAACCCTGCTTTTGTCTGACTTTCTTCTAAATTATCGAATTCAGTGATTTCTGGGGTGAATTTGGTTAAGTTGTAAAATGATTAATTTCTATTTGAATTCGTTTTTTTTGAATGTAGAAAATCTGATGTTAATTTAATTCTTTTTTCGTTATGCACGGCAAAAAATATTTAGCTGGATGAACTACAGATTTCACTTTAGTAGCGAAATTATTTAGTGCTTCAATTAATACTTTCGTTATTCTAGAGAAACTTATCGCTATTTCAAGTAAAACTTTTTTCAGTGTGTAATAATTATTATTTCTTTAAAAAGTATTTAATTTAAAATGGCTTTATAAAATAAGCAATGCAAAAGATGACCCAGATACTAATTGTAATTGTTCTAGCCATAGTTTAAGTCTAGTAATGTAAATTCTATTTAAATTGAGACCATTGAGTGAAATTATTTGATTTTTAGTTAGTTAAATCTCTTTGTTAGGTTATAATAATTATTTCTTTAAAATTTTTTAAATTGTTTAAAATAAGCAGCCCCATACAACATTCCCGCGCGCTTGCGCGCGGATAGTTTGGCTAGTTTTATAATATTCATCAAAAGAATTCAATTATTTAAAAATTTACTAATAAAATTCTTTATGAGAACAATAAATTATTCAATAATTGAATAATTAATTTTTGTATTCAAATAATTGAATTATCGTCGAAATTTCTAAGAAAAATTGTTTTAAAAATGAATTTTATAGTTGAAATGGTAGATAATTGAATTTTATTATTATTAACTATTCAGTTTTAATTTAAAACAATTTTAAAATTTAACTATTTCTAAAAAATTCACGCCATAATGCTTTTAATATTCAATTATTATTTAAAAAATTTTAACTAAAATTCATTTTTAAATCAATTTTTATTAGAAAATTCAACGAAAATTCAATTATTTAAATTCAAAAAGGAATAATTTATTAAATAATTGAATTTTATTGAAAAATTTTATTAAAATAGTAGATATTGAAAATCAGTGAAGTGAGGAAATTTTTTTAAAACAATTAAAATTTTGCCAAGAATTTTATTAAAATTTTCAAAAATAATTGAATTTTGAAAAGGTTTTAAATTGAAATTTAGAAAATCTGAATTTTTTATATTTTTAACTAACAATTCTGTAGAATTAATTTTTTTTTTTTTGAAAAAGTTTAATTGCATTTTTTTAAAATTATTTGAAGCTTTTATTTTCTAATATATAATTAATTGAAAAATTTTCGAATGATCGAAATTTCGTAAAATTGAATAATTGTAAACAAATGGTTTTGAAAAGTCTAAAGAATTTTGTCAAAAATGATTAATAATTAATTTAGAGAAGAATTTTAGTAAAAAATTGTAGAAAATAATAATTGAATTGAAATGATAAAAATAATTTTGAAGAAATTTACATAACAATATTCTTATAATAAAAAAAAAAGATTTTATCACTCGGTCATCTTTAATTATTGAATTTCATAAAGGTTTGAATTTGAAATTTTTGAAAATCTTAATTCCTATGGAAAAATAATAATGATTAAATATTTATTTAAAATTGAAGTTATTGTTGTAATCGAATTATTTAAAGAAATTCTTAAAGAAATTTAAGAATTAAGAAAATTATTAAATAAACGTAAGAGAATATTTTTTTGAGTATCTAATAATTTTTAGAGTGAATCAGAATATTCTTTAGGGTCAGGGAAAAAGTCAAAATTTTGTCTGAATATCAGAGAAAAGTTTCAAGTTTTAACATTCAAAAATTATTAAAATTATATTAAAATTATTATCAATAATAAATTAATTAATTATTAAAAAGAAACGCATCATATACCAAAGTCATGATTTGCGCATATTTGCGATTGTGAAACAAACTGGTGCCAGAGAAAAAGAACATATGCAGAGCAGTTCACAGTTAAAATCTAGGAATCGCTTTGAATATGTCCAACAATCTGTCTAAAAATTATTTGCTTTAGAAATTAATTTAAATAAAATTTATATTTTTAATGACTATTTTAGTGAGTATTTTTTTATATTTAAATTTAAAAAAATATTTCCTCTATTCGAACCGTTTAGAATTTTTTCAACACAATTTCAAAAAGGGTTCAACTCCGAAAACCTTAAGAATCATTTTCACGTAACAAATTGATAGTAAAAGTGAGTTTTACAGTTTGTGAGAGTAGTTGAGCCCTTTTCAAAATTGACGATTCTCAAAAGTCTTTGAGGAAAGAAATTACGAAGAACCCTTCCAGAAGTAATTCTTTTTCCCAGGTCTGTGAAGCTGGCCGAACCACTTTTATAAAAATGAATTTAAATTATACCATTAATTAGTGCTCAATTAGTGCTATTTTTGTACCATATTGCCGAATTTAGTGCTCAATGTTTATTTAAAAAAAACAATGGTTCTGCTGAGTGAACGTTCCGCTGGCCGGACCATAACGAAAAACGCTTTAAAAACGCCAACAGAATATTTATAAATAGCCTATTATTTAGTGCTCAATTAGTGCTCAAAGATTAACAAAATAAAAAATTTTTTTATTAATTATTTATTTAAAAAAAAAAAATTTTTTGAATGAGTGAGTAATCCGTTAGCCAGACCATAACGAAAAACGCAATAAAAACACCAACAAAATATTTATCGATAGCCTATTATTTAGTGCTCAATTAGTGCTCAAAGATTAACAAAATAAAAAATTTTTTAATTAATTATTTATTTAAAAAAAATTTTTTTTCGATTGAGTGACTAATCCGCCAACCGCACCATTACGACAGACACGTCAAAAATCACAACAAAATATTTATCAATACCCTAAAATTTAGTGCTCAATTAGTGCTTAAATATTAACACAATAAAAAATTGTTTATTAATTATTTATTTATAAAAAACATTTCTTCGAAAGAGTGAACACGTTAAAAATGTTTTAAATTCGTTTTATAATTCGTTTTCTTAGCCTATAATTTAGTGCTCAAATAGTGTTCGCAGATTAAGAAAATAAAAAATTTTTTTTATTAATTATTTATTTAAAAGAAAAACTTATTCAAATGAGTGAGCGAACCGCTATCCGCACCATTACGAAAAACACATTAAAAACGCCAACAAAATAGTTATCAATAGCATATTATTTAGTGCTCAA